TATAAAGCTCCTACTGTGTGCCAAATGATATGACAATAAGGACTTTGTTCTTCTGACTCACTTAATGGCAGCTCACAAGTCAGGGGTGTCCTGCTCACCCGATTGAAGACGGGATGAGAGAGACATATGGGAGAGTTAAGACACTCCTCGAGAGTTATGAAGTTAGGTAGGGGTCGGATGCAAAGCCAGGCCAGGGTGGGACTCGGGCACTATGCTAAGTTCCCATTTCCCTTCCCACTGTACCGTAAAGAAGAGAGATGGTGACTAAAGGAAACTTAACATACTCGTGGGTCAAAACAGTGATAGTGTTATACAAAACTGAAGATTTGAGGCTGACTGGTGTGAACACAGTTGCCTCATCAAAGGAACATCTGGCCTATCCTCTACTGGGGCTGCCCAGTTTTTTCAAAGCAAAACCTACCAGCTCAGATCCATGAAGTTCTGAACTGACACATCCTGGGTGAGTGACCCCACCCTCGGAACTTCTCTTTCATGGGATAATAACAGGACCCCTGGGACAAGGGAGAATCTGGGGTGTTTATCTAGTGCCTGCACACTGGAGACCTTCCATGATGGTGCTGCCCGTCAATTGGGATCCATTTACTTAACCATTCTTAGTAACAAGCAAATAATCACTGTCGGTTGCTTACACTCATTAGTACAGAAATTGATGCTAATCACCACGAGCATGTCTGGTTACGTCAGGTTCACCAATTAAAATTTGTCCTAGATATTTTTTAGGCTTGGTGGTCATGCTTGCATTGAATTCACCAAGCTCTTCTGGCTGAGTGACAGAAAATGTAAGATTCTTGTGCCCCAGTGTCCTGTATACTCTGTAAATGAGCCCTGCACTTCCCCTGGGGCCCATCTGATAGTAGGCACTGGACAAGAGCACTTGTCTTTAGGCAGTGTCTCTACTCTGCCCAGCAGAGCCCTCTTTGATGTTTCTTCTGTTTACCTGTCCTGGATAGTGTTGTCAGTCTGTCTGCTCTCATCTCACCAGCCACTGTCGAAGGAGACAACACTGTATTATGGATCAGGCTAAGCGCTTGAGCCAGTCCTACGGTCAGGGAAACATTAGGAATAAGGACAGAGGAAAGGGAAAATAGCAGATTCTTGGAAGGAGGGTTCTGTAGGGTGACTGCATCGAGAGAGGAGTATATATTTAGTATGCCTACTAAATTTGGGTTTCAGATAAGCGACACGAAAATTCCTGGCATATGTGTATCCCACGCAAGACTTGGAGGGCTCATTGAAACATATGTGTGGTTCATCTGGACAAGCCTGCAGCATTGTGCCTCTGCTCCCCAAGAGGTGAAGACTCAGGGGCAAGAGAAAGCTGAGGAAGTAGAAACAGGTGCCTTGCTTGGGAAGGACCAGGGCCTCTGGAACTACTAAGCTCCATAATGAGGCAGACAGGGAACATGTTGGGGAGCTGATGTCATCAAACCACTATAGAGTGGCAGAGATGAGACAAGGGTGGTTGGTCGCATGTTCCTTTACACTTACCTTCTCCTGAGAGGGCTGTCTGATGGGTGTGGGTGGGAATTTCAGGAACCCCTGGAGAAAGAGAGCCACCAATAGCAACAACACCTCAACACACTGTCAAAATAAAGCCTCGGGGGCTCTAAGATGAGCAGGCTGAACACTACAGGGCCAAGGATGGGAGGCTCTACGAAAGGTGTCACCAGGAAGAGCTCTCTGTTATAGCTGAGGGCTCCTTGGATATCTTACTCATCCAGGACCATAGGCTGCTCAGCATTGCCCAACTCAGAAAGAAACACAGCCACTTCTGGGTTCTGCTGGAGGAAGAGGGCTACCTGGGACACAAGGTGAATCCAGGAAGTGGGGTATGGACCCTGAGGTAAAAAAGACCCTTGCCGTAAAGGGCTGATGAGGGAGGTCCTTCTGTGTATATGTTTATCTCATTGGTTGTTGAATAAAGTACGGTTGGCCAATAGGGGAGCAAGTTAGGTGGGACTAGGAATTGAGGAGAATTTTGGGAAATGTAAGAAAGAAAAGTCTGGTGAGCCGGGCAGGAAGTGACATAGCAGACAGATTCAGAATATAAGCAAGGACAAGAAGGAAGTCCTTCTCTTGCTCTTCCTCTTTCTCATTCTCTCTTCTCTATGGAGCCATCATGTGATCCCAGGAAGAGGATGCCAGCAGAAGGCATCCTCGATAAGTCTTTTAAAATATATAGACTTATGATAATTAAGACTGAGCTAGCATAGAAGAAATCCTAGTCACTGGCCAAACAGCATTGTTAATAATATAAGACTCTGTGTGTTATTTTGGGTACCCACATGGCAGTGGGGTTCCGGTGGCTCAGCATAAAGACTTATCGTTACAAAGAGTACTGAGTGTAGAAAATGCACAGAGATACACCTGTGTACACAATCCTTGTACACACTCCCTCATTCCTACAAGTGTGCCCACATACCCATGTACACACTTACACTCACACCTATTCACGTACCACCTACGGCATGCATATGCTATCTTCATACATGCACACTCCCCACACACATAAACACCAACACAACCACACTGCAGTTTTCTCCTTAACAAAATTACACAGTTAATTCCAGGAAGGAGACGTAAACACACACAAAAAAGGATAGATGAGATGCCTAAAGTGGCATGGGATCCATCCTAGGTGCCTAAAGGGTTAGCAAAGAGACAGCATAGAAACTGATGAACAAGGAACGCAGCCATAAACTTGACTCTTATTTTTTCCTAAGATCCACATCTTAGAGTAAGAATTATGAGTTATTAATAGTCCTCCCACCATGAGATTCACAGGATAAACAACCTCTCCTCCTAAAAGAGTCATCTCGGCCAGGCTGAGCTTTCTGCTCTGGGTGTGTGTGGGGGGGTGCAAGGAGGAAACAGAGGAGGAGGGCATGATCCATACCAGGGAGGCTTTGGCAGCCAGGAACACATGGAGTAAGAACCCTATTCATCTGAGTTACAGATGCTGCCTGAGTCCCATTGTGTACCAGACCTCTGACTATTATACAGAGAGAAAGAACTTGGGATATACGCCCTCAAGGGATTAAATTCACATCTACCTGCCAGCAGGGGTAGAGTTGGCACTAGGACCTTTTGATACTGGATATTTGTATTGGTCTCCTAGCAAAGGGAGGCAGAGTCAATGTCAACCGTGGCTTCGGCCTCTGTGAGCCAATTCACTGGAGAAGGTGCCTGTGCCAGCTGCTACCATCCTCTATAGTCCAGAAAGAGCCAGCTATGTTGGGAACTTTACCTCTAGGTAGCAGTGTCGCTGGGGCTTTGACGCTGGTTGTCTCTGCAAGGAAACACATGGGGAGGCATATAGAGCAGTTGCCTGGGAAGTTGGCAGGGCCATACTTGACATTTGAAGACACCCAACCACACTCGGTCCCACTGTGGCCCCTGCTCACTGCTCAGTCCCATTGTGGGGTTCAGGCCCATTGTCCCACCTGGAGTTTGAGCCAGGCAGAAGGAAGCATCCAGAAAATTCAGTGAAGAGTTGACACTAGACTGAGCCAAGCACTCAACAGCAACCTTGTCACAGGTACACAGTAGGCGCTCACAAGGATCCTCGGACTCTGAGCATGTAGCAAGGGCAGAGCAAGGCAGAAAGATCAAACTTAGAATCCCAACAGGCAATGATAGCTCCAACAAGGGCCTCCTGAGCTGTCCTGTCTAAACTTGCTCCACCTGTAATTTTCTAACGATGGCATCACCTCTTTGGTTTAGTGGAAGCAACTTGGGAGTCCTATTCACACTATGTGTCTTGAATGCTCAACCCATGGGGCTGTTGTCCTGGTGTCACCTATATCCATTTTTTGGGGGGGGCTGCCCACAGCCCTACATACTATCACTATCTCCTGTCCATTCATGCCAGCCCCCCCCATATTAGTCTTCCCATTTCTGTCAGGAAGGATCCAGAATAGGTCAAAGGCTAGGGTGGGATGAGGAAGGGTATCTCAGTGGTAGAGAGTGATTATCTAGCACCCAAGAGGCTCTGGGCTCCATCCTTAGGGATACGACATGTAAAGATGAAACACTTTATTTGAAGCATGTCTATTGGTTCAGAAGCCCTCACTGACTTCCCAGAGTCACCTAGGAAGTGGTGTGTGATTGTCCTTGCCCGCCCACTGCCTTCTGTGTTCCTTGGGTGTCATCTTTTCCTACACTTTTTACCACTCCTTTCTGTTCCCCACTCCACACTGGACACCTCAAGTGTGTCCACGCTCTGCTTGGTTACTCTTCTCCCACACAGCCATTAGGACTGCTTGCTTCTTTGATTTTTTTTAAATTTAAAGTTATTTATCATTTATAAAGCAAATACAATGGTTTTCAGAAAGATTGGAAAAGAGATAAATATGTGACCTTTATAGTGTTCTCAGAAAGCACATTTAATATTGCCTGATACATCACATGACTCACAATGTATCTTGGGGTAGTACTTAATATGCTTTGCCAAATTTGTTTTAGTATGTTTATACAATTAAAGACACAACTCTCCCTCAAGATATATAACAAGCCAGTTAAGAATACTTCACAAACATAGTTATTCGGATTCAAGACTTCTTCGATTTTTGCACAAAGAAGTTTCTAATACCCTTCCTGTTTAAACGGAGTGCCACCCCGCCCCCCTCCACCCTGGCCTTGCTTCCTCCATGGCTCCTGTCAGCATCTAAATTCTTTGCCATCTTTGACTGCCAGGGCTTGACTGTGAAGTGAACCCTCACAAGCTCATGTGTTTGAGCACTTGGTCCCCAGCCGGTGGCATCATTTGTGGAGACCATGCTTCATTTAGAATACGGAGCCTTGCTAGAGGAAGTGAAACACTAGTTGGAAGGTCATTGGAGGTCTGTTGGGACCACCCATCCTCCAGGTGTGAGACGGATGTTTCCATCCTGGAATTAGGGCAACTGTGATAATCCACACAAGACCTTCACAAGATTAGGCTCATTACATCCTCCCAGAGAGAGAAGGAAGGGCTCATGTTGCTGGGAATGAGGAGCCCACGAGGTGGCACAGGAGTGTATTCAAGAGATTCCCCAGAAGGCCAGCTGTTACAAGACACCCCGTCTCCACCCACAAGGGTACAGAAGCGGTCAAGAGTTGCTGGGTGAAAGCGACATCTTCAGCAGAGTACCTATAACTTGACCATGTACCTGTAAACCCCAGTTAAACTCATTGGTTCACCAACTAGACTTGAATGGAATTGTTCTTGGGTTAGTGCCTTTCAGGGGTGAACAGATGTTTACGCTCCCAACTCCCACCCCCACCCCTCCAATTAATGCAACAAGGAAGTATCCTGGACCCAACTTCCAGCCTGAGTGCTCTGCCTTCAGGCTGGTGTCATATATGCCACCGCTTTGTTCTCCTGATGCCCTGGCAAAGATCTTCGTCCACAACTATGCCTTCCCCACCACCATGGACTATATACTCTGACCTTGGAACCGGCTTAATCCTTTCTGAGTTGCTCCTATCAGATACTCCATCAAGGGTATGAGAAAAGTAACTAATGCATTGACCAACCAGAGACATGTTCAGAAATAAGGTCAGGAGACGCCCCCACCCCCTACACAGATTCAACAGTCCCATATGGGGAGACAATAAGTATCTGTTTGCTGGGTGTGTGGATGAATGGTCTTTTTCCATGTCCACCGGCTTCTCCCAGTGCCTCCCTCTGCCTTCTGTTAATGATCCAGGATCTACCAGGTTTAGAACATGGACTTGGGATTTACTGGGGGCTTGGTCCAATGCCTTGCTCTACAGCTGAGCACCTCTGTGACTTTAGCTAGGCTGTTTAATTTCTCAGAACTTTCCTTCTCTTCTTTGAAAGCTGAGAACAGTAGAGCTCATCTAACAGGTTGTTGGGACAGAAGGTCAGAGTTGCTGTGCATGAAGACTAAGGTCTACAGCAGGCACGCAGGAGACTGGCTCAGTCTAGCACCTCACCATGCTATACACTCCCATGCCTCTATGCCTTGGTCTATCCAGCTTCTTCCAGGGCTACCCAGACATGTGAAATGCTATTCCTAGAGTCACATGGCAAACAATGTGCTCATACAGGAATATGAGTTATCCACCTGCCTCTTACAAAGAGCAGCCACCCCCAGCTTGACCACACACTCCTACTCCAATATCCGCAGGTGGCAATGAGTTCTTACTATACACCCGTCATGGTAGCAACCGTTTCTCAAGCAGGCTTAATTTAGTTTCCATAACCTCTCTTTCAAAGGAGGTTTTGTCCTCCCCATTCTGTGATTAAGAAGTTAAGGAATTATTCCATTGTTACATGTTTTATAAATAACAAAGCACTTGCCACTTAAAAGCTTCTGCAGTCACAAGAGTAAATAAATTATAAATCAGATGATATTCTGATAAACTCTTGCTTCTTTCATACAAAAGCATTCATTGCACATTAACTATATGTGAACCACAAACACATCAGTCACCTAAGTACCAGCCATGACACTGCTGATGGTGTTGACAGTCTTGGTGGATCCCACATGGGCCACGCAATGGTCCCTTCATGCCTCGGCTCAAGGAGGCCTGAAAATGCTCACCACACATGATCTGTTTGTTGATGCAATCCACATCTGCGCTGAGCTTGGCAGGGTCCTGGAGACAGTCCATCTCAACAGCCTCCTCATAGCATCTACGATGCTGGAAGCAGCAGCTGAGGCAGGTCAGGCAGGATAAAGGGAGGTAATGGTTAGGGTAGAGACGGGCAGGAAGCCCAGGATCATCCTGATGTCTGGATGGTACCTGCTAGTGATCTCTTTACACACACACACACACACACACACACACACACACCATGCCACCTGCTATCTTACATGCTTGGGGTGGAAGTGTGTATCACCCATGCCCAACACGCAGGCTTCTGTGGCCAGCCACATGGCCCTGGATCTCAGATGGAGGACATGGTGTGAAAATGGCTCAGGGAAGGTAAAGACAGGCTTGTACTGGTCCTTGTCTGGGCACTGTTTTTGAATGTTACTTTTGTTATTGTCACCACATTTTACATCTGTCTGAGTCAATGTTAAGAGTAGCAGTTAGTTGTCTTTCTCCTTCTGCTTGGCTTCACATAGGAACTGACTTCTCTAAGGAAACCGCATTGGCAAGAGGTGTCAGGGGCAACTCTGTTACTTGCTGAAAATAAGCAGCGATGACAGAGCCAAGGCCATTTTTTTGGGTCATTTCATATTCCTAAATAAAGACACCAACACTGGAAGTCAGGTGTGGTAGCGCCTGCACTGGAGAGGCAGGAAGATCGCAAGTTCAAGACCAGGCTTGGCTGTGTAAGAAAGTCTGGCACAAGAAAGAGAAAGAGGGAAGAGAATAATATGAGGAATAGAGAGGAAAAGAAGGGTATGTTGATGATGGGGAGAAGGATGGCAGTGGATTAACCTTAGCTGATCAGGATTAAGGTGAGAAGGATCCCAGCCGCTATTCAGAAAACAGAGAGAGGCAGATCACCAGTCAGTGATCCCGGGGGCCTTCCACCTTTTTGTATGTGGGTCTCTGTGTGAGATGCACAAGCTCTCTTACAGCACAGGTGGTTTCTAAATCACGGGGTGACACCATCACTAGAAGGACTCTAGAAGGCTCTCACAATGCAAATGGAGTCGGTGGAGAACAGAGCAACCAAGAAAACAAGCAGATGCAAGGTGACCATGGATACACTTTTTTTTTCATCCTGCCTGAGGAAGATTCCTTGGATTCAAGAAAACACCTATTTCAATAAACAACAGCAAATGTTTTGGGGCTCTAGTGTGCAAGTCCAAGGAGGAAACAATCCATCTTCCAAGATATTCGGAAACACCCATCCCACTGACCAAAATGTACAAAGTAACTGAAATTAGATTCAGCTCACCATCCCACCAGTGTGGGGACACAAGTCCTTTGCTAACTCCTTCTGGGTAGGAGACAGTGATGAATGACTCCTTTATTTATTTGATTTCTAGGTTCCTTGGGTGTTCAAAGAATTAAAGGAAAAGGCATGGGCAACTTGACAGGAAAAAACGTGTTCCCAGGAATGGCCCTGACCTCACATACCCTGAAGAACCAGGCCTTTCCCAACTCTGTGTGGACTATCTGATCCTGGTCTCTAAAATGGAAAACTAGCTCTGTCGTCCAAAGGCAACTTGTATCTATCTTTTCTTGCAGGTTTGAAGGTGGGGATAATTTGTTGCTTAATTGTAAACAAGCATTCTTTGTCAACCAAGAATTTATCCTTTTCGATTCATCAGTTTTTAACCTCTGAAAAAGAGGTTAGTGACCCTCAGTCAGGGGGGTCACTAGTTCTGGGAGTACAAAGAAAGGGCACTCTCTCCTTAGAGGACAATAAGTGGAGTCCAGAGACAGACAGCATGCTCACACTTATCTGTGTAGCAGGTGCAAGAAAGAGAAGCTCAGAGGTTCGGAGAGCAAAGGACAGAGACAACCAAAGAGGATGTCCTTCAGGGAGAAATGCCAGGGCAGGTATGAGCTGCCTAATATGGGAATTCCATAGAGATTCCTTCCTGCTTTCTCTGAGCCCACATAGACAAAAGAACGTACATGTCACAGCATTGGGTTTGGGGCACAGGTCTGTGGGATAGGATATTATTCTTGGAGCAAGTTGAGATCCAGGTTCAATTCTCTGTCTGGGTGCTGTCTGTGGCTGATGCTGTTGCTATGGTTACAGCCACCATTACTACTTACCAGCCCAGTGCCTCCTGTGTTATGGCTGCTGCTGTTGCTTCTATTACTGTGATATTATTACTGCCAGTATTAGTACTGTTGCAGCTACCTTTATACAGCCATTGCTACTGCCATCCCTATTGTTACTGCTTCTATGAGCCCAGTCTTGCTTCCATGGTTACTGATACTCTTGAGCTTCATAACCTGGTACACTCCCAAAGCCTTCAGCTGATGTTTTTAGTCATTGAATCTGAAATAGTGACTCCGAAGTAGGCTGTGCAATTACCTCCATTTTTAAGGTAAAGAAAGTGGAATACAGAAAAGTTAAGTCAATAAGGAGCAGAAAATAGGAATTGCTGAGTCATAAGTAATGTTTCTTGCATGTGAACACATAGCAACAGATTGCCCAAATCGTTCAATGGCTCAGCTGGCCCTCCTATCCCCATACCCCTTGACCACAACCTTGATTAAGCTTGCTTAATGTTTTTAGGTTTTAAATGTCATTGCCAATCTTGGTACTTTGTTTCAGTGTGCACTTCCCTTGTCCATGGGGATGGAAAACATCTTTATATGTTTTCCTGTGTTCCACACTAAGGCGGGAGTAGTGTTATGGTTATCTCAAGCACAGCACCCATGGGTTCTTATTGCTTATGCTTATCGAAGGTTGAATAGCAAACTCTGTAATTGCTTTTCGTCTAGTAATACACAGGATAAATCTGGGCTCTACTACATGTATGCTGAGTTGATAGGCTGGGTTGAACCCCACGAATCTGCATTATAACAAGGACCTTAGTGGTTTTACTGTAGGGAACCCCATCTTGGAGTAAGCCTGCACTATAGTTTTGCCATGACAGAGTCTCATGGTAAACACCTACAATAACATCCCTCATTACACTGCATTGTGGAGAGGTGGGTACCAGTTACCTTGCAGTAGATAATGGAATTAGATCTCTCCCAAGTCTCTCCTTCCAGGTCACTGCCTTTATTTGCTCCACCCAAGGTGTCACTAGGCTGCAGTGAGCTCACCCGTGGCATCTACTTACCTGTCAGACTCATCCACAGGCAGCCCTTCCATGTCAAACCTGCAGGCACAGCCGTAGTCTTCGAAGTCCCTGGGGCAGAGGCCAGCCACACACCTCATACTGTTCACAAACTGGAGCAGCAGAGGAAAGTTGGTGAAGACGGCCTGCAGCCAGGTGAAGTGAGAGCCTAGACAGTCTGTGGGCAGAGAAAGCAGGTCCTGGTGGGTGCTGGGAACTCAAGGGCAGGAGGAGCTCTGTCCCCTGGCCTTCCTGCACCACTGGCTGATGGGGTGGCATGAGCATGGTCACTCCCTGCTGTGCAGTCAGTCAAAAGCAGGTGGTCAGCCCCAGCCACATTGGTTACACCCACCTGATAGACGCTGGTGGCTTCCTTATTAATAAAACTGAAAAGTGTTCAGGAAGGTCAGCCTGGGCCTTAGGTTTCTGAATAACTTTTACTACTATGCTCAGCTGGTGACTATAACCCTGTATGTATTTCCATGGGCTCTGAGGACATCCCCCAGGTCTGGCTGAAAAGGACTTAAGAGGAAGTCTGTCAAAGACCCCTAGAAGATATTTGCTTCCTAATACAGAAATAAACACGTAGGAAGGTCCATTTGGGGCTGGGACGATAGTCCGGCTTTAAGTGTTTGCATCCTCAGAATCCACAGAAATGTCAGGTGGGTATGGCAGTTCCCAGCAATTCCTGCCTCAGAGGGCAGAGCCCATAGGTCCCTAGAGCAAACTGACTAGCGAGAGTGGCTCTATTGGTGCTCTCTGGGTTTAAGTAAACTTCTCTAAGTCAAAGAACAAGACAGGGAGCAATTGAGGAAGAACTCATGCATGGGCATTGGGCCTCCACAGACATGCACTCACATGGACACATGAAAAAAAGAAAACACTTTTGATCTGTACTTGTCTCCTTCCTTGCATGTGGATATGCTGGCTAGAGCCACAGCAGCTACTCTGCAACCATGAGGCCCCAAGCCCAGAGTTGAAAAGCTGGTCGGTATGTCCAGAGAGGGCAGCAATGGAGCAAGATAGAGCAAACCTGAAATGCTATGTATGCTACTTGTACACAGCTACTGTACCCATCCTGGTACCCTCAGACTATCTGCGGTGTAAGATAAATGTATATAAAACATGCCTTTATCACCTGTGAAATTATTAGTTTGCTGATTGAATCTCCCATGACATGGTGACGATGCTGTAAATTATAAGCCAGTGTAGAAAAGAAAGGTATGTGGACACACAGTAGCTGAGCATCTAGTCTGCACCAGGAACTGCACTAGATATTTCCAATAGCACAATAGTTCAGATTGGTCGTGTGTGTGATACATTACAAAGATTTTCTCTTTAATGCCATAAACGTCACAGAAATCCTGCAGGCTAGGCACTGTTCAGTTGCCCCCAGTTCACAGATAAAGATACCTGTAGTCAGAGACATGCCCATGCCAGCATCTGGTGGTCTACCCTTAAGCATAAAGCACATAAGAAAAACACTGCTTGCTTCAACTCTAAACCTCAAGCTTTGCCTCCCCATCCTTTGCTTTTTTTTGTTTGTTTTTCTGGTCTGTTCCATGCTGAAGGAGGTGCCTGTCACTCTGATGAGACAGAGGTTCGGTCTGTGAGCACCAGGCCTATTTGCCCATTCTGGTTTCTTCCTTCCTCATTCAAACTTCCTTTCCTTTCTCAAGTTTTTGTTCCATGAAGTCTCATCAGTGAGTGAAGAATGACTCAATGTTGTTTGAAAATCCTTCCAACATTTATGTGTAGATGTACACTTACATACAAGTATATTTTCATTCAAAGGCCTCTAGGGTAGCCATACCGAGTCATAGGCACCATGCCCAATCTCTTCTAAACAAATAGTCTCCAGCGACTTTGCTTGGTCTAGTAATAGTATAGCATTATCTGATTGTTACTGTTCATATTTGATAGTGGCAACCCTCATAGTGTCCCAGTGGCTGTATACTTGATATGAAACACACATGGATTGTTTGACAGTCTTTCAAAGGTTTAACATTTACATGTACTTGCTGGTTGTGGAGAGAAAACCAAACCACATTGGTATAAGGGCCTAAGGTCTAGGTGTGAGGGATGTTTTCCTTCTATCTTTACAGTCTTGAGCAAACAACCCACTTAACTCCATCAGGCTTGCCATCTCACTAATACATAACAACAAGGATGCCATTCTCTTCCCAGAAATTCTGTAGTTAGGACATGGAATTTAGGAAAATGAAGGCATATAATGGCACTGTGAT